ATCTTCCTTTTTCCTGGGGACTGGAGGTCTAAGGTGCTGGCTGCCAACAGTCAAGCTCCTTTGGGTCTGGAGGGTGGAATCGTTAATGAGTTTTGCTGGCAGCCCGTCAGTCTCAGATCTATGGCCTGCCTGCAGTTGCCAGCAAGGATGAAATGTCCCGTCTGCCATCTACTGCAAAAGCCAGGATGTTGGTATGGCATAATGGCGTCATGTCCCAAGCCTGTTTGTTTCAGTCATTGTGGATGGCGTGAACGAAGGGAAGCATAGGAAGGACTTGAGGACAAAAGGCACAGGCGAACAGCCTTCAGGAGAGACCTCTTGGCTGTGGGAGTTCACAGACTTGCATCAGTCCCCGGTGCGGTAGGCAGAATTGTGCGTCTTGCAGCACAACAATGTGCCCTGTATTTGCATTCATTGAGATTCATTGGCTCGCCCTTTAGCTTACCAGGAAGGTTCCCAGAAGGACACTGTCCTGGAGGTGTGCAGGTGAGCAGGAGCAAAAGGAGCTGATTGGCCCTTGCAGTGCTAATAGGCCACTTCTCTTGGAGCCAGATAGCACAGGTTGACTGGCAGGCTCGGCAAGTTTGTCACCTGTTATCATTGACCTGGTGTCCGGAGGCCAGGTCTACCTCTTGTTTCCTAGGACTGGTAGTTCTGTTGTCTGGAGGCCAGATCTACCTGCATTGACTCCAGAGGCAGGGAGACCAGAGGCAAGGTCTACCTCCATTGATTCTTATAGCAGGTAGAACTGTTGTCTAGAGGTCAAGTCTGCCTCCACTGTTTCCTATGGCAGGTAGACCTGTTGTCTGGAGGCCAGGTATATCTCCATTGTTTCCTGTGGCAGGTAGACCTGTTCTCCAAAGGCCAGGTTAACCTCCATTGATTCTTATAGCAGATAGACCTGCTGTCTGGAGGCCAGGTCTACCTCTGTTGATTCTTATAACAGGTAGATCTGTTGTCTGGAGGCCAGGTCCATCTCCATTGTTTCCTATGGCAGATAGAAGAAGAGGAGGAGGAGGAGGTTGGACTTATACCCCGCCTTTCACTCAGAGTCTCAGAGCAGCTTATAAACTCCCTTCCCTTCCCCTCCCCACAACAGACACCCTGTGAGGTAGGTGAGGCTGAGAGAGCTCTTTCAAGAACTGCTCATGAGAGAACAGCTCTGAAAGTACTTGTAACTGACCCAAGGTCACACCAGCAGCTGCATGTGGAAGAGTGGGGAATCAAACCCGGTTCTCCCAGATTAGAGAACGCACACTTAACCACTACACCAAACAGATAGACCTGTTGTCTGGAGGATGGGTCTACTTCCACTGAGTCTTGTAGCAGGCAGACCTGCTGTCCAAAGGCCAGGCCTACCTCTGTTGATTCAAATGAAATTGCTGAGCGGTCGGGTTAGAACGGATAAAAGGAAGTCCTTCTTCACCCAAAGAGTGATTCACACTTGGAATTCACTGCCACAGGAAGTGGTGGCGGCTACAAGCATGGACGGCTTCAAGAGGGAATTAGATAAGCATATGGAGCAAAGGTCCATCAGTGGCTATTAGCCACAAGGTATAGATAGGGGCTCTGGGGCAAGTGATGCTCTGTCTTCTTGGTGCTTGGGGGGGCCAACAGTGAGAGGGCTTCTAATGTCCTGGCCCCACTGGTGAACCTCCTGATAGCACTGGTATTTCTGGCCACTGTGTGATACAGAGTGTTGGACGGGATGGGCCTTTGGCCTGATCCAACATTGGCATTTCTTATGTTCTTATGTTCTTAAATGGCAGGTAGACCTGGTATTGACAATGGGGGCAGGCTGTCCCAGTAAGCCTGCACCCATCGCTGTTGTGCACTGAAAGGAAACACCTTTTCTTATTTTCTTTCTCTGTGAGACAGCCTGGAGAGGGAGGGGAGCTAGCAGAGATACCACGAGAAGCCTGTTCTGGCCCAGCTAGACAGATCCCTCTCCACCGGCCTCTCTTCCCAGAGTCCCTTTGATTGTACGGCTTTAATTCATAGATGTCCTCATTTTCTTCTTAAGTGGGATGTGGCGCTTGACCGATGTTCTGAGCTGCTTTGGGGACTCCGCTCCAAAAAGCAAGGTGCAGATCCCTCTGCATAAATAGTAATGCCCTGTTTTAGCTGGCTTATAGTACCATATGTGAAGCTGAACATTTTCGACGGAATTGTGACTTTACTTAGTTTTGATCCTGACGGGCTGTGACTCAAACCAAGGAAGCTACTGCTTCATACTGCTTTACACAGAGAGTGATTAAAGAGTGGAATTCGCTGCCAGAGGACGTAGTGATGGCCACAGGAATAAACACCTTGAAAGGGGGATGAGATAGAGAAGTCTGTCAATGGCTACTAGCCATGGTGACTGAGGGGGAACCTCCACAGTCAGAGGCACTAAGCCTCTGAATCCCAGAGCCAGGAGGCAACATCAGGGGAAGGCCTTGGCCTCTATGTCCTGTTGTTGGCCACTTTGTGAGACTGGATGCTGGACTAGAAGGACTATTGGTCTGGTCCAGCAAGGCTCTTCTGATGTTCTTATGAAGACCTTGGCCTTCATGCCCTGTTTTTGGCTCTCCAGAGGAACTGATTGGCCCCTGTGAGAGACAGGATGCTGGACTAGATGGACCACCGGTCTGATCCAGCAGGGCTCTTCTGATGTTCTTATCAAGGGAAGGTCTCAGCCTTTCATGCCCTGTTTTTGGCTCTCCAGAGGAACTGATTGGCCCCTGTGAGAGACAGGATGCTGGACTAGATGGACCACCGGTCTGATCCAGCAGGGCTCTTCTGATGTTCTTATGTTCTTAAGCGGAACCCAAGCCACTAGATAGCCCCACTCTAAAACCTGACAAGGTGTGTCTGGAAGACTTGAGCGCTGTGCTCTCTCAACAGCTCACCATTGGGGCCGAACTAGACATGACAGCATCCTCAAGGTAGCCTGAAGGACACAAGTGCCATTTTAAAGTCATTTAGGTGGTGGTGGTGGTGTCTTCATGGCCACCCTGTGGAAGCTGTCACATCCAGTTTGGCCCCAATAGACTCATCGTAAGGTGCAATCACACTGCAACGCTTGCTGCGAGATCCCACTGCATTTCACGGGCCTCTGTTATACTTTTGCAAACTTAACCTTTGGGCAGTTTAATATAATTGATTATGTGCCCTTGCTGAGGAGCCCACGGTGATGTTGAATTTGGTCAGATCAACCAGGGGCAGTGTTCCCTCTAAGCTGAGTTGGTGTGAGCTAGCTCAGAGTTTTTTAGCTTCCAGCTTACAGATTTTTGTCTTCGCTCAGGAAGGATGGCTCCAGAGCAAACTAATTTATGCAGCAGCAAAATTGCCCGCTCACAACTTCAATGCCAGTAGCTCACAAAGTAGAATTTTTGCTCACAACACTCCACAGCTTAGGGGGAACATTGACCGGGGGTACAACAGCTTTCAAAGGAGGGGGAGATCCATCTTATCACCACCCAAACTGCAAGAGCTGGGAATCCATCCCTCCCTCCCTCCCTCCCTCGGTCTTGTGATATTTCTATCACGCCCAGGGAAAAACTAGACCCTTCTGTGGTGTCAGGAAGGATTTATGGCTCCATTCCATTTCCACTGGAGAGTGTAAATTGCTTTTAATACGTATAACATGGAAGCTTAGATAGGGTGGATTACGCTCCTTGTTGAATCGCTGGGGTTGATTAGCCCGAATGGTGTCTTTTGGAAGGGGTTAATTAATCTCCCAGCGGTGGCATGAGAGGATATGGGATTGGGGGCCAAGCAACGGCTGAAGAGGACGTCGAAGAGTGAGCTTCAGAGTAGATCGCTAAGACGGAACAGGGAGCAGTGGCGGCGCTAAAGATGCGCTGGGGCCAGAGCAGAGCTGCTCTGGGGGGAAGCCCAGGTTGGGTAGCTCTGGTCTCCAGTCTTGGGTCCTCCCCCCCCCCCCCAGGCCCTCTACCTCAGGGGTGTCGAACTCATTTGTTACGAGGGCCGGACCTGACATAAATGAGACCTTGCTGAAGAAGAAGAAGAGATTGGATTTATACCCTGCCCTTCACTTGGAGTCTCAGAGTGGCTTACAAACTCCTTTCCCTTCCCCTCCACACAACAGACACCCTGTGAAGTGGGTGGGGCTGAGAGAGCTCTGACACAAACGGCTCTTTCAGGAACAGCTGTGCCAGAGCTTGTGACTGACCCAAGGTCACATCAGCAGGTGCAAGTGGAGGAGTGGGGAATCAAACCCGGTTCTCCCAGATTAGAGTCCGCACACTTAACCACTACACCAAACTGGCTGTCCACCACCAAACTGGCTCTCTGTTGGGCCCGGCCACGTGTGTCATAAAATGTAATGCCAGGTAGCGGAGACATAAACTTTATAAAGGACACAAACACAAAGGGCTGTTGTTTTTTTCTAAAATAAAAACATGCTTAAAACATCAGCGGTCTTGCAATATTTTGCTTATTTAACAGTGTCCGGTAACGGACACCTCTTGCTCTGAATTCTTGCATCAAAATGTCTGTGCTGTTGCAATCTTGAGTAGGCTGTTCAGGTGTGTATCTGTAAGCTGCAAACCTACGATGACGCAGCAGCAGCAGAACTGTAAGAAGAAGCAGAAGCCAGCCGGTTCCACTGTGGGCCTGATAGAAGCCCTCCGGAGGGGCCTGATCCGCCCCCCGGGCCACATGTTTGACACCCCTGCGCTCTACATCCTGCCCACCAAAGCATTCATCTTCAGCTCTTCCCTTTGCACACCCCTTGGAATTAGGCCCACGACTGGAGCACCTTCTTTGTGCCGAGACGGTTGCGTTGGTTGGCTCTGCCGAAGCCAAACAGCAGCCGGTATTCCTCTCTCTCTGACACAATGTTGATGGGGTGTGCCGTAAAGCTAATGAAGCATCGGGAGTCACCTTTTATGAGGCTGGCCCGACCGATGTCAGTCAGCGCAGCCATATGGCAGAAGCAGGCAGTAATTTGCTCCATAAATGTCATGATTCTGCTCTTCCCTCCGCCCCTGCAGATTGGTCACTGGCACGTTACCAAAGGCCTGACCATGGATGACCAACTCTTCTCGTCTAACGTCTCGGAGACCCTCTTCAACACCACCCTCGTCGTCACCACCATCCTGGTAAGCGTGGGGGGTCATGCTGATCTCCGTTTTTTTCTATGGGTTATCTGAGGCCTCCAGATGTTGACCTCTACCTGTCCTTATCATCATACTGTAAGCATTCTGTGCATAGATGCCAAGTTCTTGAAGAACAGTTGACCAACTGACTAGATGCACACCAAGGAACACTCACGACCCTGCAATTACTTACACTGAAGAGTTGTGCGGAAATGATATTTGATGAGTTTAGAAGTGGCTAGAGGGAGGGTTAGAACTGAGCGCACGTTGTTCCTGACATTCCTCTTTGGGCATCATTTCGATTTTGAAAGCAGTTGAGGTCAGTGCTCCCTCTGAGCTGTGGAGTCTTGTGAGCAAAAATTCTACTTTGTTAGCCACTGGCATTAAGGTTGGGAGCAATGCTCCCCCTAAGCTGTGGAATCATGTGAGCAAATATTCTTCTTTGTGAGCTGCTGGTATTAAAGTTTTGAGCAAGCAATCTGCCTACTGCATAAGTTAGTTTGCTCTGGAGTCATCCTTCCTGAGCTAAGACAAAAATGTGTGAGCTGGAGGCTAAAAACCTGTGAGCTAGCTCACTGTAACTCACCTTAGAGGGAACAATGGTTGGGAGGGAGCGATTTGGCTACTGCATAAACCGGTTTGCTCTGGAGCCGTCCTTCCTGAGCGAAGACAAAGAACTGTGAGCCGAAGGCAAAAAAGTTGTGAGCTACCTCACACTAACTCAGCTTAGAGGGAACACTGGTTGGGGTACAGAGAAAACGGATCACTTATTCAGTTTGCTATGATTTTGTTGGCCACAACTTGAGTCATGCAGGATTTGACATTCTGCCTGCAGAAAGTCTTTGAGTCACTGGTCTACTACTGTGGCCACATGCTTTTTGTTTTTCCAGGTCCCACTAGATTTCCTAGAATATATCCGAGGCTGTGCCCATGACTGTGTCAGGCCGTGTTATGCACGGTCCCAGGCTCAAGACTCTATGCTCTGTCTGTCACCTTTCCCAGCCAGAAGACGATTGGAATACTATGGAAGTGGGTGGCAGTCTTGAGGCTTCCATGAGCCCCACTATTATCTGGTCAACAGACCATGTACGGACAGTTGGCAGACGACAGAGCATGTCTAGGTCCGACTCACTTCCCGAAGTTTGCCAGGTCCTTCAGCTGTGGAACCAGGTCCTCCCTTAGCAACTTCCTTGGGGGCAGCAACAATTTCAGCACTTGAGAGGGGTCCTTTGTCTTCAATCTACCTGACTGCAGAGGGTCCAGCCCCTCGTGCCATAGACCAATGGGGTTTTTTTTGGGTTTTTTTAAGTACCCGAAGGTACACCTTTATTATTTTCTTATATACCTACACACAGACATAAACAACTACAACAAACAACATATAGGCCAAGAGACTTATTACAATTTGCTACTACCTCTACATCGTCACTTCATTATTCTCCAACACTTGCTAATATTCTCTAATTCCATTATTATAAATTGCCACACACTCCAATGTTAATTTTACCATATCATCTTAATCTTTAAGTCCATTCTCATTGTACCAATCATATAGCCTCTTCCATGTTTTTTGAAATGTCCATTTCTTTGTGCCTCTCATTTCCATGGTTAATTTGTCCATTTCCGCAGCTTCTAGTAGTTTATTAATGTATTCTTCTTTAGTTGGTGTTTCGTGGGTCTTCCAATATTTGGCGTACAATATCCTTGCTGCCGTTTGACATTATATACAATCAAGTATCTATCCGTTTCTTTAAACTCTTTCGGAAAGATATTTAACAAAAGCAATTCAGGAGTAAAGGGGATGTTACATCTTACAATTTTTTCCATCATACAATGTACCCATTTCCAAAAATGTTTGGAGACATCACATAGCCACCACATATGATAAAATGTGCCTACCTTGTTTTTACACTTCCAAAGATTTTTTGACTGAAATGCCAAGGAGACCTTCTTGGAGACCATCACTCAGCTGTTGCTCCCAGAGACCCCTGACTCTTGCTTGCAGCGGCCAACCCAGTCTTGCTTCACAGATTGCATCTCACTCCTAGCTCCATCTCTACTCCCCGTTGTGTCCCATCTTGGCCAGAGCAGATCAACTAACCCACAAAACGTCATTGTTCCATTACGGATGACGGTGGATGGAAGTTGCATGATTTCCAACCCACCGCATGGGGGCAAGTCCAGTTTGAGTCTGGCCTCCACTGGTGCATCGCAGACAATGTAAAAGAGTTTGAGAGGGTACCCCTTCGGATCTGCAGTAGAAGAGCTATGTGCCAGTCCAGTAGCACTTTAGAGACCCACAAGGTTTTCGGGGCAAGAGCTTTTGAGAACCAAAGTTCTGATGGGATCATAGAATCACAGAGTTGGAAGGGTCCATACGGGCCATCTAGTCCAACCCCCTGCCCAATGCAGGACCAGCCTAAAGCATCTCTGACAAATATTCCTCCAGCCTCTTGAAAGTTTTCAGTGAAGGGGAGCTCACCACCTCCCTAGGCAGCTGATTCCACCTTTGAACCACCCTGACCGTGAAAAAGTTTTACCTACTATCCAGCCGATACCTTTCTGCATGTAATTTAAAACAGTTGCTTGGGGTCCTCTCCTCTGCTGCCATCTGGAACAGCTCCTTGCCCTCCTCCAAATGACAGCCTTTCAAATGTTTAAAGAGAGCGGTCACGTCCCCCCTCAGTCTCCTCTTCTCTGAACTAAACATTCCCAAGGCCCTTAGCCTTTCCTCGTAGGGCAGCTAGGAAAGGCAAAAGGCAGAAAGACAAAAAAAACCCCTTACCTTCTAGCAGCAGCTCACCATGTGCTCTCCACTCCTTGCCTCAGGCCAGCTGACTCATTGAAGGCATTGGTCTCTCAGGTGCTACTGGACTGGAATCTAGCTCAACAGACAAGAGATAGGAGTCTGCCGAATCCTTTTCTGGTTCCTTTCCTTTCCCGTCTGGTGACTCCCAGTCAGTCTGTCCATCCTATCCCCGGCCCCTGCTTCCCAATTTGTGCTAAATCTAGTGCTGTTGCAACTTCATGCCTAAGATGGGAATGACAGCTGCCCAGTTTCGATGCAGGAAAACCCTTACTTAATGCTCAAGGGGAACCATCAGGAGCTGGAGGGGAATGACCGCTACGAAGGCTTCTGCGTCGACATGCTGAAGGAGCTGGCGGAGATCCTGCACTTCAACTACAAGATCCACCTGGTGGGCGACGGAGTGTACGGAGTACCGGAGGCGAATGGAACCTGGACCGGGATGGTCGGGGAGTTGATCGCTCGGGTGAGTAAAGACTGAATGCTTTATATGTGCCAGAATCACATGATCAGCCTTTCATCTGCACTGTATCACTTTTGCCGGCAGGTGGGAGTGGGAACCTTTCATATTCTCACTAAACATATGGAGCAGAGGTCTATCAGTGTACACATAGCAACTCTCAGTCTGGGGCAACTCTCGGTCTGTATTCTTGGTGCTTGGGGGGGGAGGGCAACAGTGGGAGGGCTTCTAGTGTCCTGGCCCCACTGGCGAACTATCCTGATGGCACCTGGTATTTTTGGCCACCATGTGACAGAGTGTTAGACTGGATGGGCCATTGGCCTGATCCAACATTGGCTTCTCTTGTGTTCTTATGTCTGGGGCAAGCAATGCTCTGTATTCTTGGTGCTTGGGGGAGGGGAACAGTGGGAGGGCTTCTAATGTCCTGGCCCCACTGCTGGACCTCCTGAGGGCACCTGGTGTTTTTGGCCACTGTGTGACAGAGTGTTGGACTGGATGGGCCATTGGCCTGATCCAACATTGGCTTCTCTTGTGTTCTTATGTCTGGGGCAAGCAATGCTCTGTATTCTTGGTGCTTGGGGGGGGCAACAGTGGGAGGGTTTCTGGTGTCCTGGCCTCACTGGTGGACCTCCTGATGGCACCTGTTATTTTTGGCCACTGTGTGACAGAGTGTTGGACTGGATGGGCCATTGGCCTGATCCAACATTGGCTTCTCTTGTGTTCTTTTCTTATGTCTGGGGCAATAAACAAACAAGGGGGGTAGCAGTATGACAATCGTGCTACATACAAGAATACTGCAATGGTGCAACTAATACAAAATACTGTATGACCAATGACAGAATAATCATTCCATAATATTTAATCATCAGAGAGGTCCTTTTGGGAAGTTGTATGAGTATGCTGAAGCAGAACTGTATGTATTCTTCCAAATTTTTGGCAATTTATGTAGAGGTTGGGATGTTTTCCTGGTATAAGTAATAATTATGTTTTTTGGCAGTATGTTTGTATGAAAAAGAAATATCGAAACGAAATGGTTACTCCGGGGAAGTTCGTCCTTCACTTCTTCATGACGTCTTGCATGTTCATCTCGCGGCGTCTACATTGAAAGAAAAAGATTAAATATTATGGAATGATTATTCTGTCATTGGTCATACAGTATTTTGTATTAGTTGCACCACTGCAGTATTCTTGTATGTAGCACTTA